CGCCAATTAAATTGTTGGGTCTCACTTTTTCCTAACCATTGCTTGATACAGGATCTTTTGACGAAGAAGATTATTGGTAGGGGCTACGAATCTAGCGGGCATTACTTCCTTGATGATCAGGGGTCTCGTGCGGTGGCTTGTACTGGTGGTATCACTCCATTTGAAGCACATTGTCGTTTAGGTCATTTATCTTTATCCTCTTTAAAAAAGGTTTATCCTCAGTTTCAGCATTTGTCGTCTTTAGATTGTGAGTCGTGTCAGTTTGCTAAACATCATCGTCTACCGTTAGTATCTAGAGTCAATAAACGGGCTTCGTCCCCTTCTGAGTTAGTGCACTCCGATATTTGGGGTCCGTGTCCAGTTGAGTCCAAAGGTGGTTTTAAATATTTTGTCACATTTGTTGATGATTATTCCCGTACCACTTGGTTATATTTAATGAAAAATCGTTCTGAGCTTTTCTCTCACTTTTGTACTTTTGTTGCCGAAATTAAAACTCAATTCAATACGCTTGTCCACACCTTGCGCAGTGATAATGCTAAAGAATATTTTTCTGAATCCTTTCGCTCTTTTATGCTTCAACACGGCATTCTTCATCAATCCTCTTGTGTGGATACACCGGCTCATAATGGTGTTGCCGAAAGAAAAAATCGTCACTTATTAGAAGTGGCCGTGCACTTTTATTTCAAATGCAGGTTCCAAAACCATTCTGGGCAGATGCGGTCTCCACAACTTGCTTTCTTATTAATTGCATGCCCTCCTCTGTCCTTGATGGTAACATTCCCTACACCACTCTCTTTCCTTCCAAAGCTTTGTTCCCTATTGATCCTAAGATCTTTGGCTGTGTTTGTTTTGTTCGGGATGTACGTCCCACGGTCTTCAAATTGGACCCCAAGTCTCTTAAATGTGTCTTTCTTGGCTACTCTCGAGTTCAAAAGGGTTATCGATGTTTTTCTCCTACTCTGAATCGTTATCTGGTTTCAGCTGATGTCACTTTTCAGGAATCTGTTGCCTACTTTGCATCTAATGCTTCCGCTTCACCTTCTCCACCGGTGGAGGAGGATACCTTTCTGGTCTATTCTGTTAGTCCAAGCTCACCACCAGCACCAGCTCCCGTATTGACACCTGGTCAACCACCTTTGTCTTGGGTCTACACCAGACGTTTGAAGGAAACTACTCCTACTGTTGCGCCACATTCTGCTCCACCATTCTCTGCTTCGTCATCTGATCCTGCAGCAAGCATCATGCACCCTGACCCTGACCCTGTTCCAGGTCTAGATGCCGATCCCTCAATTGACTCTGAGACACCTCCTGTTCCAGATCCAGATCCCTCCCTTGATTTGCCCATTGCCCTTCGCAAAGGTAAACGTACTTGTGCCCATCCTATTTCTTCCTTTGTTTCATATAACCACCTCCCCTCTATTTCTCGTGCCTTTGTTGCCTCTTTAGATACTATTTCAGTACCTAAGTCCCTTCAAGAAGCCTTGTCCCACCCGGGTTGGCGTACTGCTATGGAAGAAGAGATAGCGGCCCTTCATTGTGCTGGCACATGGACCTTAGTAGATTTGCCAGCAGGAAAGAAAGCTATTGGGTGTAAATGGGTGTTGACCCCTAAAGTTAAGGCAGATGGTACACTTGAACGCCTCAAGGCTCACCTTGTCGCAAAAGGCTATGCTCAAAAGTATGGCATTGACTACTCTGAGACTTTTTCCCCCGTGGCCAAGCTCTCTTCTGTTCGTCTATTCATCTCCATGGCCGCTACCTATAGTTGGGATCTCCATCAATTAGATATCAAAAATGCATTCTTGAATGGTGATCTCCTTGAAGAAGTGTACATGGAGCAACCACCAGGTTTTGTTGCTCAGGGGGAGCGTGGGAAGGTGTGTCGCCTTAAGAAATCACTCTATGGCTTAAAGCAAAGTCCTCGTGCATGGTTTGACAGATTTAGTACTGTTGTGAAGAACTTTGGCCTGCACCAGAGTAAGTGTGATCATTCTGTGTTCTATCAGCGAACAAGTGCTGGCATGATCCTACTAGTTGTGTATGTCGATGACATTGTGATTACAGGAAACAATGCCTCGGGGATCTCATCTCTCAAGTCGTTCCTTAACTCACATTTCCAAGTGAAGGATCTGGGTTCATTGAAGTATTTTTTGGGAATTGAAGTCATGAGAAGCAAGAAAGGCATCTTATTGACTCAGAGAAAGTATGTTCTTGATCTGCTAAAAGAAACTGGGAAACTAGGGGCTGCCCCGACCAGCTTCCCTATGGTCTATAATCCTCTGCTTGATGCTGATGGTAGCATACCATGGGAAAATCCTGATGAGGCTGCTAAGAGCAAGCCATTTGAAAATCCAGAGAGGTATAGGAGACTGATTGGGAAGTTGAATTACCTTACAGTGACCCGTCCTGATATCACCTATCCAGTAAGTGTCCTTAGCCAATTTATGGTTGCGCCAACTGTCCGACAATGGGAAGCCTTAGAGCATGTGTTACACTACCTGAAGGGATCCCCGGGTCGTGGGATATTGTACAAGAATCATGGTCACACAGACATTGAGTGTTTTTGTGATGCTGATCATGGCGGGTCGAAAGCCACGAGACGATCTACTACAGGATACTGTGTTTTTGTAGGAGGCAATTTGGTGTCCTGGAAAAGCAAGAAACAGAATGTGGTGTCACGATCGAGTGCAGAAGCGGAATACAGAGCCATGGCGCAATCCGTATGTGAGATAGTTTGGATATACCAGCTACTAAAAGAGGTTGGTCTTAAAACCTCGTTACCAGCAAAGCTGTGGTGTGATAATAAAGCAGCCCAACACATAGCTTCGAATTTGGTCTTTCATGAACGAACGAAACATATTGAGATTGACTGTCATTTCGTCCGAGACAAGCTCAAGGAAAACTTCATCTCTACAGGACATGTCAAATCCAGCGACCAGTTGGGTGATCTTCTCACCAAAGCTCTCAATGGGGTTCGAGTTGAATATCTTTGTAACAAATTGGGCATGATTGACATCTATGCTCCAACTTGAGGGGGAGTGTAGAGATATTATAGGAGATATTATAAGATATGTAAATATCCTGTAATTAGTATATAGGATATGATATGATATGATTTCATATTAATGAGCCATTAATACCTAGGCTCCTCTATTGTATATAAATACCCAATCGAAGTATCAATAAAATATAATTTTCATTCTCTAAATTACAAGTTTTAAAGGGCCAGCTCTTTTAGGCCTTGATCTTTCTCGGGCCGATCTTTATTGACAACTCTACGAGTCACATTTAAGAGTGTTGTTTTGTGGGAGTGATTTGTGCTAATCAATGGTGATAAGTATCTAACTTAAATGGTTTAGATTTATTTGTTTAAGTCTTGTATTTATGAAAAAAAAATTATTTTAATATATACAGAATTAAAACTAAAAATAATTTCTTAACTGTTCATTTTTTAAAAAAAATAACATTTCATTTTAAAATCATTAGTTAAAATTTTAAATTTGAACTCTTGAAATTATATATAGGGAAAATTAATCTTTTGATCCTCTAACTATTAATTCAGATATGACTTAGTTCCTTAAGTATGACACATTGCAACTCAATTACTCAACTTTTAACTCAGTTATAACTTAGTACTTAATCTTTTCTCATTTAATAAATCAATCCTTAACACAGCTGACTCCCCTTATGGCAAAAGATGCTGCTGACTAGGTTCCAAATAAGCTCCACGTTTCATCACTCATCCCCCACCCTCTCCCCCGAGGTACGCCGGAAACAGCCCAAGCCTCCCAAGGCTGAGCTCTGGAATTGCAACATAAGAAAATACGTTGCGAGTCTTATAATTTTTTTTAATGAATGTGTCCTTTTAATTTATCTCACGATATGTTTTTACCACCACTACTTGCAAATTCTATATATGCCACCTCTTGCTTCACGGACTTCATCAACACATTAAAAATGGGATCCCAAAATTATTTGAGGATCCCTATGTTCTTGCACACTACAAAGATGTGAATCTAGGAATTGTCCAGCGGCCACCACTGCGTCACACATATACATATATACTGCCGAGTTGGAGCTTGAACTGTTGGAGCGACAAGGTTCTTCGGTGTGATGTTGTTTTCTGAGCAAACAGGGGAGAGAGTGGGTGGTGGAGTGATGAAACGTAGAGCTTACATGGAACCTCGTCAGCAGCATCTTTTGTCATATATGATTACTGGATGATGACTCAAAAGGGAGTTAACTGTGTTAAGGATTAATTTATTAAATGAAAAAAGATTAAGTATTGAGTTATAACTGAGTTAAAAGTTGAAAGATCGAGTCGCAATGTGCCATTCTTAAGGGGCTAAGTCATAACTAAATTAATAGTTAGAGGACTAAAAGAGTAATTTTTCCTTTAAATTATTATGTTCTTAATTTTGTTTTTATATAGACTGTTGTAGGGTTGTAATCTAAAATAATAAAATTTAACGCCAAACATTTTAATCACGGATATATTTCCTTATTAATTTTTATTGATACAAATTTTATAAAATAAATTAATGACCAAAATTAGTGACACTTAAAATTTAGTAACGGAATTACTAATTAAAAATTTTGTTTGCAGCCTTGAACTTTCTTGTTTTTTTCCCCCCCTTTTTCCTCAATTAAAATTTGCCAATAGCGCCTCTCCCAAATTATTCCGAAATTTGAGATCTCAACATACATGTCTATCATAGAGAATAAGAATATTTAATGAAAAAAAATTACACATCGGTACATCTTGACATGGACATCTTTGTACATTACTGCCAAAAGAACCAACAAGTCAAATGGCTGATTATACTGCTTAAAATTTAAGAGAAGTTACAATTTAAGGTCAATGTGTCTACAAATGCTACATTGCCCTCTAAACTTATAACCCACACAATCTTGTATTTCTAGGTGGTACGGCATCCACGGGACTTGAGATAGAAACCTAAAATTCAATATTGAGGAATATCACAAGGCAGAAAGGCTTGTATGCTAACGACCAGCTCAACATTGTACAGACAAATGTTCATATTGTCTCAAAAATTCCCGTTACCGGAGACAGCAAATAATTAAACAAAATGACACAACTAAGAAATCGTCGGTTTACAGATTCCCGGAGGGAAGTGCAAATTACAACCTAATAATTCATACCTACTTCTAGTTACAATACAAGGCAACAGTACAGGGCTCACCGATCATCATAGGTGACCATATCTTGATCTTTCAAACTCGAGCCATTACAAGTACAGAAGATTTATGTCCATAGTGAAACAAAATTGTGAAAACTTGCGCCTTTGCAATCTATAAGAATCCGGGAGACAAGTGAAAGTTTAGGACCAACAAACCTGGATATGATTTGCTTCAATAGCACCACTTAATTCCAGATTGTCATCTGAAGTGACATACGTGACCACCCACCGTTTTTAATTATTTATCTCATGGAACACAGTGCAGATCAACGCTGTGAAACAATAAAACCATTTTAATAGAGCAAGTCTTACTTCTTGCGTGTCCTATTTTTACTGACTTTCACAAATTTACGACCAGACTTGTCACCACCACCAGTTCCTAATGAGAAACTCCCTGCACCATTGAATTCTAGACTGCCAGAAGCCTGAAATGGGGATGGGTTCTGTGGAGGAATATTCTGCTGAGTTCCAAACTGGAAGGGATTAGTTCCCGATGAAGATGGTGCTCCAAAAACAAAATTTGGTTGAGGCGGGGCAGGTTGTTGAACAAATGCAGGAGTCGCAGGAGTCAGAGGGGAAGATGATTGAACTGGGTCCTCTGCCATACTGTCTTCCATACTCATCTGATCATTGTTAGCAGCTGAACCAAATGAGAAGCCAGGACTAGGATTACCAAAAACAGGTTGTGTGGAAGTAGTCGTTGCAGATGAACTAAATGAGAAAATGGGACTCGATGATGCACCAAGTGATGATCCAAACATGGGTGTGCCACTAGTGGATGATCCAAACAAGGGTGTGCTGGTAGTGGAAGCAACGGAAGCAGCGGATGATCCGAACACAGGTGTGCTGGTAGTGGTAGAAACAGAAGCAGTTGATGAACTGAACATGGCTGTGCTGGTAGTTGCAGAAACAGAAGCAGCGGATGATCCAAACAAGGGTGTGCTGGTAGTCGAAGCAACAACAGCAGATGATCCAAACATGGGTGTGCTACTTGAAGCAACAGAAGTGAAAGATCCAAACATGGGAGTGCTAGCAGATGAAGCAATAGAAGCAGTGGACGATCCAAACACGGATGAACTAGAAGTAGATGAAACAGAACCACTTGATACTCCAAAGGAAAAGCCAGAAGAGGAATTAAAGGAGGAACTAAATGGAGACTTGTTGGTCTGCCAACTGGAAGACCCAAACAAGCTAGACGCTGCCCCTGTGTTAGAGCTACTGGTGTTGGCTGTTGAAGGGGAAGCAGAGGTGCTGAGCCCGATGGAGGAGCCAGAACTAAAAACATTTGTCGCTGAACTAGATGGTGAGACTGAACTCCCTGAAGAAAAAGATGTATTCCCGCTCAACCCAAACAAAGGAGATGAAGTTGAACCCAATTGAATTGACTGGCTCTTAGTAGAAGCTGCAAACAAACTTGTGGCCGAGCCGTGGGCACCAGCCAGAGATGTGCTTGAACCAAATAAAGAACCCTGAGATTGACTATTTACAGTTGTCATTGCCGAGGAACTGAGCCCAAAAATGCTGTTCCCTGCAGGCCCAACAGCAGCAGCTGATGTGCTACCAAAAGCAGAACTGCCTAGAGTACCAGACCCTGTATCCGGCTTTCCAGAAGAAGACACAGGTAAATCTGTTGTCGAACTGGGAGAGGATCCAAATTTGAAAAAGGACGGGGTTTGTGACATCGCAGCTACTGTGGAGGAAGTGCTATTGGTACTGGATGCAAAAGTGACAGGGGGGATGCTAGTTGTCATGCTACTAGAGGAAGCTGCAGTGGCAGCACTGCTGCTGTCGGACCCAAGAGGTGAGCAATTAAACATACTTTGGCTAGTAAAATTATTTGAAACAGATGTTGAAAAAGTAGAAAAAGAAGTTTCTGAAGCAGGAGGGCCATTATTTTGATTTAAACTTTGGCCGAAAGAGAATATACTAGTGGGTGGTGTCAGTGATGATGCTGACGCTGCAGATGAAACAGCCACTTCTGATGATTTAGCAAACAATCCAGAATTCACAACAGTCTTGGCATCAGCATTATCGGATGCAGGAGCTTTTGGCATAGATTCAGTTACACCAGTGACAGTTGAGCTGAATATGAGAAGACATTTAGTAAACGAATGGTCTTGATGCTTCAATGGACATAATTTATTCAGTTTATAATAAGACAATTAGCCAAGACGGATCAGCGAAAGTCATAACTATATAATGAAAAATTCCGCCTCCAAATATAACTGAACCAAGAACAAGATAGCCTTAAAACCCAAGATAATAACTACAATGAATTTATGGGATGGTGTAAGATTATAGGTGAAAAGAAAATGTTTTACAAATCATAATATGGTTAAGGAGCCAAAGGGTGCAGCTAGCCCCAAAAACAAAGGCCAGAAGAATGACCTAAAACGCATATTATGGTAAAAACATGGAATGGTAGAAAAGTGGATGAAAGAAAAGCCATGTCCTTGATGATTTACATACACATAATAATATACATCTCAACTAACAAGTAAAACTACTTTAACGTACTATATTAGAAACAAAAAATTGAATCCAGTAAGTTGGCCATCTTATTTCTCATAAAATAGAAAGTCAGCTTCAGCCTGACTTGAAGAGATCCCAAAGTGCCCATCCCCTCCTTGCACAAATCATCCAATAAGTTGCATTTTAATAAAATATAGAAGAGGAATTGAACGTTTCCAATAAACAACGAAGATAACATTGGTATACATGGAGATTATTTAACAAGATATTTGCCCAAAGCAATCAAACAGTACCTGACGGAGTTCCCCAGCTTTGAGTCAGAACCAGCACCAAATTTCATAGCAGATTCAGCACCAACAGAAGATGAGCAGGTCATAGGCATTTGCTGGACCATATCAAAATTTTTATTGCCACCAAAGTTAAATACTGGAGCATCAGCCACAGACTCCTTCGATGAAACAACTTTATCTCCAAAATTAAATAGCAAGCCCGATTTTCCTGATTCCTTTGATGGTGAGGAAGCCACTTTACTTCCAAAGCTAAACAAGGGGGGAGCAACAACTGATCCATTCAGTGAAGTAGACTTTCCAGAACCAAAGATTGACTCCATGGCTGCTGCACCTGTTGCTCCATCTGGCTTAAAAGTCAGAGGTGGGGAAGATGTAGTTGTAGATGTTGATAAACCACCCTTTTCACCAACTAAGGACCCATCACCAGTACCATTAGGAGTCTGGCCATCTGCCTTGGGACTTGTGAGTGAGAATGCCACAGGTGATGCAGCAGGCACCTCCTTTGTATCGGTTTCAGTAGCAACAGCTTTCTTGGCCGCATTACTAGAGTCAGTCATTTGTTTCTCAGAGGATAAAGAAGACACATCCCCATTTGGATACGCATCATCATCCAGATCCAGATACTACTTTGAGAGCGAGAAGACAGTTAATGATCATGGCCAGAGGTAAAACCATATTCTCTATCAATAAACTATTACTGAAACACTAAAGCAGCTAGATCCTACGGTGCAATCAAACATAGGAGCTAAAGAAGTGTGTTTTTTTTGAAGATATGTTCAAGATTAAGTACAAAAAAAAACTTCCAAACTGCAATGTATAATTATAAATTAACTGCTCAAGAATAAAATTCAATCATCATAGTAGACGTAAGATGAATTATGATAATTATCCATAAAAGTACAAGTCCATGACAAAAGACATGCAGTAAACCCGAAATTCTTATAAGAAACATTATAAAATATCAAAATTAGGTTATTTAAGAAAAATCCTTGATTCATGAAGTCATGCAAATCTTCATACCTCATGTGCACTCATACGGAATGCCCTACTCTTTTGTGGAGGTTGAGAAACAGGCTTCACTATAGAAGAATCCACAGATTGTGCACTAGATACGATTTCCTTCCTTGGCATTGAAAAGCCGACAGAAGTAACAAATGGATCATGTTCAAGCTTCTCCTTTGGTGAAATCAACTTAGTATCAGCTGACAAATTCTGACACAAACCATCAGAATTATTATTGCGCATGTGATCCAGGAATTTTGATGAATCTACAGTTTCCATACTTCTAAGAGCCTGTCCCCGTAACATGGAGGGTGACAACTTTGCTGGTGAGTTATCCTTGTCTGTTAGCATCTTTAATTCAGAAGATTTTTCCTTAGGGGACACCAACTTGTCAAGTTGCTGAAGTATTTTTGAGGCCATCTCACTAGATTTGGAGGATATATTGGGAACAGTTGTACCAGGAATTGTGTCATTTATATTTTCTGATGACAACTTCTTATCACTATGCCTAGCTTCATTCAACAGAAGAGGCTTCTGCATCATATATGAGGGCTGTTGAGTAGGATCAGCACGAACTCCACTCCTAATAATAGATAGAGGGCTATCCGAAACAGATGCACTCAAGCCTCTGGAAGTTATAAGATTAGACTTCTGACGGACTCTTCGCATGTGACCAAGAGATCCTATATCATTATCCAACAAAGAACTCCTTCGTTTTAATGCCTGCATGTTTGAAAAGTTTCTAGTGACATAACTGACAGGAAATTGGTATATTTTCACTTGCGGAGTAAGACTCTTACTGTTTTCTTTGATCCAGAAAGTGACTCATGATCAAGTGCAGATTGAGCTGAAGATGAAGGCCCACCTTCAATTGGAAGTCGAACAGCCTGGAATTTAGGGAACAAAATAAGAACTTAGACATTAACCAAAAAAAAAAAAAATAGTTCCAATGCATCATTAAGTAAAATGCAAACCTTTGTTGTTGAAGTTGGATAAACCCTGGCATAAGGTGTCCGAGCCATACTATATATTGCAGACCTGCCTTGAGATCTTGGTGTCACAAATCCATTTTCATGAAGCTTATCATGGCTAGTAGCCCTTGGCACAATGGACATAACAGGGGATTTTTGAGGGATATGATATGGATCCTCCCTAAGAGAAAGACTTTGTGAGTTTAACTTCGATGGGGATACCTTGGAAGGCCTACTTCCCATGTAAGCCTTTGCAACCTCTGCAGGGGAAGCAACATCCTTATCAATGACCTGTGACAAATTTTTATAGCGAAATTAGTAAAATCTCATCCAGAAATAACCATAAAGCATGTACTAGTAGATAAGCAAAAATCTAATACTCATACACTCGACGTAACCAGCGGAGTTGAAACAAGACAGTTTTCAATCCCATTTTTTAGTGCCGGGGATGCTTCCTTCTGTTCACAAGACAAAATAAGATCTGATCTAGCCACTTCAGTCTTCTTTTCTTCTGTGACAGGTGAATCCACAGTTTTTGAATGCAACAGTGCTGTCAAATGATTAATTTCAGATCTGTAAAATAATAGAAAATTATCATATCATCACAGACTGAACAAATTAACTTATCTCAAAAAGCATACCACCCAAAATACAAAATTTATCCTACAGATATAATTATTATTGTTGTTGTAAATTCTAACAAACTGCACTTTCCATAAATCATAAATGCAACCCATTTCTCAAACTTTGTGCAACACACAAAACTCATTAGTTAAGTACTTCCAAGTGAGTAGGTAAATAAGTAGATTACCGAAATTATATAATATGAAATACAATTGAATATTTATCACAGGCAATTCAAATCAAGTTGGCCGCTAGAACTATTAAAGGAGAAAAATCCATGTCATCAGGATATTATTAATTAATCCCCCAATAATTTATAGGAAACACCAATGAATACAATAGACGTAATATAAGACAGAATATAAGATTCAAAATCAAGTCAACTAAGCTGAGACCATTAAAACTGCTAGTTCAGTCTGTATCTAACCATATGCCTTCATAATCAACCCGTGCGAAAGGTCACAAACATCAAATGACAAATCCACAGGTTCTTTTCACCATTATACTGGATGGAAGAAATACAACTCCAGGCTCATTAGGTATGTTCTCTCATGAGTCCAGATTCCCATTTCTTACTCCCAAATTAAGAGTTCCTTACAGACAAGCTCACATGGGAATCCAAAACTCCCAAGTTTAAATATTAAAACATAGGTTATGTTCTTTCACCATGAAGTGTTTTATTATGAAAAGTTTAAAACAATTTGCCAGGAAGGAAACACCTTTAAAGCAATGTGTAGTCCAAGTACATCATTGGGCTCCATTTGTTGGAGCTCAATGCCCATGTTTCTAAAAGGTCTCTTACAACTTAGATATAATATTGGCAAAGGACTCTTTACAGCCTGTCACAGGTGCTATACTCACTGTTACATTATATAAGGGTACAACCCACTGTACACAAAGGGAAATCGAACAGTCTTGTAACATTTTTATGCCTCTATATCTCTTTCACTCTGGTCTCTTCTGCTTGGTTCACCAATTTGACTATTCTCTAATTCTCTAATATGTACAATAGAATCATGAATATGTTGCACATCAAGTGGTTGAGACATTCACTTTGAGCCTCAGCTGCATTTAGCAGTCACCAAGTTGGGGGAAAAAAAATTTCTTTATTCCAAACGTCTAAGGATATATTGGTTATGTCAGCAGTGTTAGAGTCAAACATGCAACACAACTGACAATAAATGTGCCCACGTTTCAAATACAAAATGCTCTCCATCCAATATTTCAAAAAAAACAAAGAAAGAAATAAATCATCACAAAGATCAACTATATATTTTATCTAAAATAGCTCACATGGATCTTTCAAAAGTTCTCCATCTACTTGCATATTCATTCACACATCACTAGAATCAAATAACACGACATCCACTAATCAATACAGTTGAAAACTCAACAGTCACAAGTTGAAAACACAACAGCAGATTAAAACAATGGTAAAGCATATAAAGCTTGCCTGGTAAAAGTCTTCTGCTTTAGCAGTTTCTCAAGCTCAGTAAATCCACCTCCCTCAGAACAATTCATTTGATTACCACTTTCACCAACAGCTCCTTGCTGCTTGACAGAAGTATCATTGGTAGCCTATGTTGCGTACAACCCAAAAGAAAAAAAAGACACAAATAATGACAATCACATAAATAAATGTTAACCACATCAAAAATGTAGATTCCTACTACATGACCCAAAAAAAAGAGTAATAGCACAGTCCATAATGAAGATTCTTTTACATTGTCAACTAAAACCTGCCGCCAACTCATGAAAGAAATGAGCACAATATATCACTTGAGGCTTCCAACAAGGATCAGAAAACTGTCCATGAACCTAAGTAATATAAATTATAATAAAAGAAAAAATATACTCATTCTGGTCAGTCTCAAAAATCATTTAACTTGCAGTCCATTACACAACATTTTCTCTAGATCCAAGCAATTTGGAGGTTTGTCACCCACAACATAACAAGAAGCTGGAGAGAAATATTCTGAATTGAAGGGGTGGTTGAAGAACCATGACTAAGAATCTGCATGAGTTGAATATTCCTTCCTGACAGTATATTAGACCAGAATTCTTTATCATATATATAGGAGTTGAGGTTTATGTTTAGATTCGAAGTTATCCGGTTTTGAATTAATAATAACAAGTAGAGCGGTGTTTCAACAGAGTGCTCGTGCTCAGGCCTCAGCAAATGGTGTTGAAGCATATCAAAAGCATGCATACTTACAATGGCAGCAGCTTCCTGTCGATTGTCCCTTACTTCCTGCTCAGTTTCTGGTAAAGAACATACCCATTTAACATGTTAGAACAAAACAAAGGCATGGTGCTGCATATTTTGACATAGAAGTTCAACCCAGCGTAAATTTTCAAAAAATATAGTAATAAAAAGTCAAATCAGAGAAAAGTTCACAGTTCATTAGATGACGTAGGCATACATTAATAACAATCTACTACAGTCATAGAGGTGGCAATAAGGGCAAAAATTATATATTTTCTTTAGTTACAACTGAGGGACAGATTATGTCATGTTTCGACTAAATAATATTCTTGAGAGGAGAGACATTGATACCAAACTTGTATCACAGCAGAAAGCAGGAGAATTTAGCCTTGTTCAGTATATTCAGTACATTAATACGTCAAATGTAGGGCAATTTAAAGTCCTACCCAATCTAAGTAACATCCATTAGTGCAGTACAATGAATCAGACCAGTATTCTTTAAAGGTTGGACATTCTACAAGAAGATAAGACATAGAGAACCAGAAGAGATTATCCTTCTAAATCAAGTAACCAACAAACAAAGAAAGCCTCAAAATTGGTATTAGTAATTCAACAATGCCACAAAGAACCGAGACCATAATGAGACTTCCTACAAAACAACCTGAGCACCTGACTACTCCCTAGCACAGCCATATACGAAAAAGGTGTACAAATAAAAGACTGTCCTAAGTTTCCAGACAGGAGACGGTCATTAACTATACATCATATCCTCACCAATATGCAAGAGAAAAGATTTTCCACGAACCTCTAAGCCAAATGAAACTATTCGATGGCAAATTCAGAAAATAAGGGCCAAAAACAACTGCTGACAATACCAATGTAATTCTTGCATGATAAATTGAAATTTCGAAAGAACCAAGTGAACCAATTACAGCGAATAACAGGACACAAATGTGGCACTCTACAGCAATTATCAATTACAGATACAGGAAACTGCCCATGCTCTTTTGAATGCTACTTTGCATAGTCTTCATTTTGTTAAACATAACATGGATAAAAATAATACATTTCAAATGAGTAGGTTCAAGTAAATTGAATAGAAAGAACAAATTCTCATGCATTGGTAAATATCGCGCAATTAAGTAACTCAAATTCAAGATGTTCATAGTGGAGGAAATTAGTATTAGAGGTATTAAAATATGACTCGCTAACTGCTTTAAAAATAATTAAAACTCGAGAATGATAACTAGGAGGAGAGAAGGAAGAGAAATATGCCTAATACGCAGCCATAAGCAACAAAAGATATGGTCCAACGGTGTCAAAGGCTACACCAATATAATTCCCTCTAAACCCTACCAATGAAGCTGCTTATTCCAATGATTGAATAGGCAACAAAGAAAATTAATGAACGCAAGCATAAAAACAAACCTGAAGGTAGCGGGCTTGGCGGAGAGGAGGAAGAAGAAGGTGGAGGGGCAGGAAGGCGCTTGCGGAAAACAGAGGAAAACAGCATATGGGCGCCAGTGGTGATAACCCTCTGCGCCGGATCGACCAGCTTCGAGAACCACCCATAATTGCGGCTGGTACTAGGGTTTCTGAGGGCCGCCGGTGGACGATCGTACGGCGTCGTCTGGGTCCTCCGGAAAGGACGCTTCCGAAATTTGCCCCCTGCTCCCAAACCTCCCCCTTCATAGGGGTTTCCTTCACGCGCCGTCGCCATAGGAGAGAGACAGCAAGTAGAAGCTTTGAAATGAGTGGAGGGCGAGAGAGGGAAAGTTCAGGTATGCAAATTAGGGTTTTAAATCGACGAGAGAAGGAGAGAGAAAGGGGGAAATGGGAAAAAAAGTAATGTACTCTCAAATAATTGTAGGCGAGTTAGCCGGAAAAAAATTTAAAAAGGCCAAAAAAAAAAAAGGATTCAAGTTTTTGGAGGAAGCATTTCGGAAAAATTACATCTAAAGACCCATAAACTATATTATATTTATAACTGATAACAAACTCTGAAAAACATAAATAAAATTATTTTTTTATAAAAGGATCAATTTTATAAAATGTAAAAAATATTATACAACTAAAATTGGAATAACAGAAATAAGGGTATGGGGAATTAACACAACATTTAAAAAAAGGGAATGGCTAGAAAATTAAATTAAATTATTTTTAAACTAGATCGTAATAAATAATATTTAAATTTAGTAAAAAGTCTACGAAATATAATTACAACTAGAAATTTCTCTCTCGTGCGATGTACTGATTAGAATATTTGATTAGATTTTAAATTCTAATCAATGTTCGCTTCTCATGAGAGTGTTATTTTTTTATTCATTCAAATGAGATTTGAATTAGATATAGGGAATTTAAGAGAAACATATGAAAACTTAAAATTCATTAATTATTTATCCATTTAGACCCTAATTGACATACTAATTAATTATGATACTTTCTATTTAATTTAATATATTTAAATCTTAATTAAAATTTTATTCAAATTCAAAATTAATTATTAATTTTTTCATTTGAACCTCCAATTAAAATTTTATTTAATAATAATGTTCATACCTAAATTCTAATCAAAGTATGATTCAAATCTTATTAACTAAATATATTCAAATCTCATAATGCCGTACTCGACCCATTTTTAAAAGAATCGGTCATTACAGGTTTTCAAAAGTATAGTTAATGATTTTAATTTTAAAAATAATTATTGATTTTAATAGCATTATTTAAGATAAATTAATTATAAGATTTCATATTAATGTTTTAGAATCAAATGAAAATTTTTATAAAAAATTTTCTATGCCTAACATGAAGCTTTTTTAATAACTTTATTTTTTTCAAATTTTTCAAAATTTAGAATTTTAATACTTCAACATAAAATTTTCAAATACTAGTCTTGATATGTAATTTTTTCAAATATTTTACTTTTTCGTCATCTTATCGGGAAAAAATCTAGCACAGGTCCATGCGACACACGACTTCCGCATGAGGTTTATAAATAGTGGGAAGTTTGATAAGGATGAAAAGCGAAGACAATGGCATACAAAGTTGCTAACTTGCTTAGCTGCCCATTAGCTCAGCGGTAAAAAAATTAATAGTAGTATATTCCTAATTTTTTTCTTGCAAAAGTTTAATTTGCTTTACATTTTTCATAGTTAAAAAAAATTAGTAGAAGGATATATAATGTGCTGTAAAATAGTTAAAAGGAAATACTATTTTTGGTTTTGAGAAAGGAAAATTAGAATAAATCATTCATCAATATATATACACACTACCTGTCATTAATATAAGATTTTATTTGATTTTTATTTTTGTAATAAATATAAGTCCTCAATCTACTTTATCTTTCATATTTATATATTTTTTTCTAAGGTAATCCTTTTAATAATAATAGTAGTTTTAACTAATACACTTGATTAACAAGGATATTTTAAGAAAGATAACACTTATCTATTACAAATACCTAACTTAACTTATTTTTTTAATCTACTCAAATTAATCAACTAGTTCTTATATTTAGGACCAGAAGTAGTATAAGATAAATGAAGTACAAAAAATAATGTTTACATATGCAAGAACTTTGAATAATTTTGAGTCAATGTTGCCTATACAAATGCGTGTCGTAGACATACATACACATATTATAAAGAAAAAATTACTTTTCTTTGAGCAATCTCTTATTATTATTCAAAAATAAAATCCCATATTCCAATCAAATCATGGAATAAAAGAAAAAAGAGAAAAATAGATTGCAACATTGTCATCTCTCAAGATGCTCTTTAATGAATATAAATGTATATATATAACATGAATGTAATTTCTTTTTTTTTTTTGTCCAAAGTATCCTTCCACCCAAAGGGTGAAAAATTAATCTCTCGGAGTACTGTCAGGCACTGTAGCGGGGACCCCTCTTAACAATATTTTTTCTATACACACAGCTCCAAAGATCAAACTCAAAACATGATGTTTGAGATGTTTGAGTTTCTTTCACTTGGACCACCGCTTGTTGGTAACATGAATGTAATTTCTAAGGCAACACAAGAAGTAGACTAGACCAAACTAAATCCCAAATCAAAATCTAGCATGTTTTGACAAGTTAGGTCTAACAATGCATGGTTCACTTTGGTTGGCAAAAACCCGAGACAGGATTGGATTTGGTCTCCCAAATTACCTTCAAGGAGTCAAAGGCATCAATTTTGGTTTTTTATTTCTTTCAATGGGAAGTTGTTGACATAAAATGCAAGTATATGAGTTGCAAGTAGTAAAAAAAAAAAAAAAGTGTTCCCTCAATGATTAAGACAAAACAAGTCAAAAATAATAACTATGTTATTGATTAGGCTAAGTAAAAATATTTGAGAAGAAAAACTTGTATAAATCAAAATGTTTTAAAAACCAATTAAAAGTAGAACCAAATTTTAAAATATCGTTCACTAGTCTAGTGGTGGCGAATAAATTAGTAATGGTAAAGGAAGTTTGCGAGTGTTTGGATGGATTAGGTAGAAATTTTTTATCAAAAGTAGTTTGCTTAAATCTGTTCCCTTTTTATAAAGTACTACCTCCGGTTCTAATTATAAAAGCCAGTTGACTAATTTGAGGAAATTAAAGAAATAAGTTGAATTAGTTATTTGTCCTAAATAGGTATTGTATTTCTTAAAATATCCTTACTAATCAAGTGTATTGACTAGAACTATTATTGTTAGAAAGACTAAGTTGAAAAAAAATGTATAAATATAAAATACAAAATGGATTGGGATCTTATATTTAGGACTATAATAAAAGTCAAACAAAGTCTTATATTAAGAACCGGAGGTAGTATAATTCATTCCCTTTTACTGTGAGGAGCCAGTTTCAGGTTCTTCAACAATCAAAATTGTACAGAGACAATCCTTTGGTTCCATCTCCTGTCTTATGGGTAGAAAAAAATGCTGTGCAAGTATTTTAAATCTTGAAAAGAATTGGGAATATTTACATCTCTATTTCTTTGCTCTTCCTTATCGTCTTAAAGCTTCTGGAATTTGTTGGATGGTTGACCGCTCTGAGTACAGAGGTCAACGTAAGTTGTTCTTCTGTGCGGAGCCCAATTCAAATTTAATTCCGTTAATTAATTAAAAGCATGATTAAAAAGAGAGGAGAGAGAGAAATTAATTCTTAGAAAACTATTTGAATAAAAATATTAGGAAAAATGGAAAAATAAAAGAGAGTGAAAATGCCGAAACTTTACCAGGATGAGGGGTTAGTAAAAGAACGAATTAGTCATACAAACAGCCCTAGATTACCATCTACGTTACATTTTATTAACGAGCAATCATATCTAAAAACATAGCATGTAATTATCTTTCAATTAATCATTTAAGTTGCACTGGGATTAAAATAATTATTGGCTGACTTATGAAATCATTGTTTTACCCTTCATCTTCTCCTATCAAACTTAGATTTTGAAGAATAAAGCCCAAAAATCATCATTTTCATTGTTGCTTTGCATTGTTGTTTAGAGGAGAATTATGATTGAAAGCAAGGAGGAGGAAAGGGGGGTACTTGCATGGCCCCAGTTGTCGTTGCCTTGAGTTATCCAGCTGGCTCCAAATCTGAGGAAGGCAAAGCTTCATTGATGAGGAGAAGAAGAAGAAGACAGATTTGATAAAAGAAGATTAAAATAATTTAACAAATTGAATGCTAGAAGCGTTATTCTTAAAAGCCACGTAGCTCACAGTTTGGATTAAAATTAGGTAAGGTGTCGTGTTACGACTGGCTACAGTATAGATGATGTGGCACGTTATGCACAGTTGGTGATGATAAAGGCGAGCTTGATGAAGGTGGTGGAGAACTCGTGGAAGGAGGCAAAGAAGACTTGGAGGAGAAGAGAAATCCATTTTTCTCCCCAAAAAAAAAAAGATTAAAAATGAGTAGAAGTAATATAGTTATACAGAAGAGAGAAGGTGAGATACAGGATTAATATAATATAAGGAGTATTTGGATGAAAACCAAACCATAATTTAAAAGTAATTGTATGGTATATAAAGTAAATGTAGAGGAATTTATTTCAATTTGTGAAAAAGTGACAACAACCAACCATCCCTATAGGCACTTTTATACTATGGTGTCAAATTGCCAACTGGACTTTTTGAAAAGAAAATGATAGATATTTGCACCTTTATAAAAACATGTATCACAAAAATAATGGATATTAGAAGGGTTAAAGCAGATGACATTTTTACTCCATTTTAAAAAGTTAATACGATTTTTGTACCTTCGTCCATTTTTTTTTATTTTCTTTGTCTTTCAAGATTACAAGAAACTGTTGACTACTATTTACAGTTCTAAATATAAGAGCTAATTCATTAACTTAAGTAAATTAAAAATAAGTTAAGTTAGTTATTTATAATAAATATATATTGTCTTTTCTAAAATATTCTTGCTAATAAGTTTGCTAGTTAGAATTACTATTATTATAAGGGCTATCTTTGAAAAAATAGATAAATATGAGAGACAAAATGGATTGTGGTTTTATATTTAAGAGCAAAATAAAAGTCAAATGAGGTCTTATATTAAGAACTAGAGGTAGTATTAGTTTTTGAGCCAGCTTTTATTTACTTTCTTTATTATTTTTGTTCATTTTTATAATGAATTTTTTTTTTCATTTAGTGTCTAATAGGTTTCTAAATAAAAGAATTCAATTTTTTTTTTTTGGAAAATTAGACCGGGCATCTTTTGACTCTCTCAGTCATGCCTCTAGAACGAGAAGGGACACTAGGGGAACCAAGTCGAGACAGTTGTCCCAATCATGTCTCTACGTGTAAATTATCTGGAGAAGAGAGTTGTGTTCCTAGATATATAAGTCATTAGTAATTAATAATCTATTTTTTAATTTTACTTCTATTAAATATAATAAATAGAATATGTGAGGAAATATTTAACATATTTTTTTGGCTAATATCCTTTTTTTAATTGGAATAAATGTAAGTATTTTTTTTATATGCACCTAGACATATAAATAAGGATTAATACAAACTGTGGTTTTTTACATTTATTCTTATTTAGTTTTGATTTTTCTAGTTTTAAATTATAAGTTTTGATTTTTTAAATTTTTTTTATAAAATATTAGTCTTTATAATATAATAAAAATATAATCTATTTTATAGGATCAAAATCTATGATTTGAACTCCAAAGAATAAAGATTACCGTTGGCCAAGAAATTTTACAATGGAATTTTTCAGCATTTTTTTTTTTTGTAATTTTAAAGAGCAAAATCTGAACAGCTTTATTGGTTGCGATGGAAGTCTCGCAAAGCAAGAGCGCTTGTGTCCCCCTATGTACGTCAGTACGTGTTTCGCATTTCGTTCTCAGGCACAATTGTGCTTCAGGTTCTTACACTCACCGTCGAAGCCATCAGCGGAGTCTCATTGCTCGTCGCTCATCTGTATCCATTCCACTGCTTCAAGAGCTTATATGAGGTACTTTTCCTTCAATGTCGTTCCTCGCTTGCTTTATCGTTATCTGATTAAGGAAAAAATGGAGCCTGACTGCTCCGACATTCGTGGATTCCTCTGTGAAATTCTTTGTATGTTCTGTGAATTGACGAATGAGGCTTTGATCTAGTCGTCTAAGTGGATTTGCTATAATCTTGAGAGAAATTATTTATGGTCAAAATCTTGCATATGAGCGTGCTAAGGACTGTAATATCTGTCAGATATGCTTTCTTGCAAACATTTAATTCAATTGTTTTTTTTTTTTTGGATCATTAAAATCCCCTGGTTGATTTTGGAATTTTGTATTCAAATTAACAAGTTCGATTTCGGGACCACCATTACGGAGGGCGGTTGGCATTATTTTTGTTCATCCTTGTTTATCACTGTGGATTCCTCTATGGAATAGACCTTGCTTAATCCCACTATTATGGTAGTATCTTGTGTAATGTAACCGAGCAACAGTAAATAACATCTTGCATATCATAAACGTGCAGGGATCATTGAAGCCATAGTACATACTCGGATGCAAAACTCTATGACAAGTTATTGGGTTACACAGTCTTCTAAGGTTGCCTCTTAAAATTTCCTTCTGTAGTGAATCATTACGTTTATTTTGTAATTACCCATGAAATCAGGCTACCAGCCCGGTGGTGGTAGACAGGATAATGCTGGTACAAAGATCTTAGTAACATCACTGTCAGCAGTGGTGGCTGAGACAACAACTTTCCCAATAGATTTGATAAAGACTAGGCTTCAACTACATGGCGAGTCACTTTCCTCAAGTCAGCCTACCAGTGCATTTCAGGTAGCATTGGGTATCATTCGTGAACAAGGTCCTCTTGGCCTGTATAAGGGATTGTCTCCAGCAATTATCAGACACATGTTCTACACCCCTGTTCGAATTTTAGGGTATGAGAGCCTGAGGAGTTTGATTTCTGGTGATAGTGGTTCACTTTCTCTCCCTAGCAAGGCTGTTGTTGGTGGAGTCTCCGGTATCATGGCTCAGGTGAGTGCTACTTGGCCTCGGTGTGTGCTTTTTATCATCACGTGATCCTCGTTAATTCTGTCCTTTCTCAAATTGAATATTTGAAAGTGGAGAATTTGTGTGCCTTTTATTAAGTCAAAAATATCGATGTTCTTGGTTTCATTGAACTATGGGAGCTTTATTGTTGTAGGAAATAGAATAATATGAAAAATAATTCTCTTGTATTTCATTGATCAGAATATACACATATATATACAAGTGAGAGGAGCCTCTGCATTAATGGCCCATTATGATAATATCATATCCTATCAAATCCTAATCATAATTACATAATATTTACATATCAAATCATATCATATCTCTACACTCCCCCTCAAGTTGGAGCATAAATGTTAAGCATGCCCAACTTGTCACACAGATAGTCAACACGAGTCCCATTTAGAGCTTTAGTGAGAAGGTCGCCTAATTGATCACTAGAACGCACATATCCAGTGGAGATGAAGTTCTCCTTAAGCTTGTCTCTGATAAAATGACAATCAATCTCAATATGTTTGGTACGTTCATGGAACACAGAATTGGAGGCTATATGTAGGGCAGCCTTATTGTCACACCACAACTTTGCTGGCAAAGTGGTTTTGAGGCCAACTTCCTTTAATAGCTGATATATCCAGATTATCTCACATACAGACTGTGCCATAGCTCGGTATTCTGCCTCTGCGCTCGATCTGGACACCACATTTTGTTTCTTGCTTTTCCAGGACACCAGATTCCCACCCACAAAGACACAGTATCCTGTAGTAGACCGTCTCGTGGCCTTTGATCCACCATGATCCGCATCACAGAAGCACTCAATGTCTGTATGGCCATGATTTTTGTATAATATCCCACGACCTGGACATCCCTTCAAATAATGTAACACGTGCTCCAAGGCTTCCCACTGTCTGACAGTCGGGGATGCCATGAACTGGCTTAGTACACTGACTGGATAAGTAATATCCGGACGAGTTACAGTGAGATAGTTTAACTTGCCAATCATTCTCCTGTACCTCTCAGGATTCTCAAATGGTTTGCTCTTCTGAGCCTCAAGCATCCGTTTCTCATCATCAAGAGAATCATCGAGTGGTATGCTCCCATCAGCGTCAAGGAGTGGGTTGTGAACCATAGGAAACTTAGTCGGTGCTGCTCCCAACTTTCCAGTTTCCTTCAGGAGGTCAAGAACATATTTGCGCTGTGTCAGTAATATGTCTTTCTTGCTTCGCATAACTTCAATACCTAGAAAGTATGTCAGAGAGCCCAGATCCTTCGTTGAAAGTGGGAATTAAGAAAGGACTTGAGGGACGAGATGCCCGAACCATTACTGCCTGTGATCACAATGTCATCTACATATACCACCAAGAGAATCATGCCAGCCGCTGTTCTTTGATAAAATACAGAATGATCGCACTTGCTTTGGCTCATGCCAAATTTCTGTACGACAGTACTGAACGGTCAAACCATGCACGAGGGCTTTGCTTCAAACCATACAAGGACCTCTTAAGGCGACATACTTTCCCATGCTCCCCCTGAGCAACGAACCCAGGTGGTTGCTCCATATAGACCTCTTCATGAAGATCACCATGTAAGAATGCATTTTTAATGTCTAATTGATGTAGATCCCAATCATAAGTAGCAGCCAGAGAGATGAACAGACGGACAGATGAGAGCTTAGCAACAGGAGAAAAGGTTTCGGAATAGTCAATGCCATAGGTTTGTGCATAACCTTTAGCCACAAGGCGAGCCTTAAGGCGGTCAAGTGTGCCGTCAGCCTTAGTTTTCGGAGTTAACACCCATTTACATCCAATGGCCTTTTTACCCGCCGGTAAATCGACCAGGTCCATGTACCAGCTCGATCAAGGGCCGCCATCTCCTCTTCCATTGCAGCACGCCAACCTGAGTGGGCCAAGGCTTCACGAATAGTTCTGGGCATAGAGATAGTATCTAGGGAGGCAACAAAGGAACTGGACACAGGAGACAAGCGGTCATATGAAACAAAGGACGAAATAGGATGGGCACAAGTACGTTTACCTTTGCGAAGGGCAATGGGTAGATCAAGAGAGGCATCCGGGTCTGGAACAGGAGGTGTCTCAGGATTAGGGTCAGAACGAGGTTCAGTGTTGCTCAACTCAGGATCTGAGGGCGAGGCGGACCAGGGAGGAATAGAAGCTGGCGTGGCGGTAGTAATCTCCGTTGACCGTCGTGTATACACACGATCAAAGGGTTGAACGAGTGCGGGAGCGGGTGCTTGCGACGACAGTGATGGTGAGGTGACAGAGTATATTAGAAGGTCATCCTCCTCCGCAGGTGGAGCAGGTGGGGAAGAATGCGAGAAATATGGTGTGGACTCCTGAAAGGTGACATCTGCAGATACTAAATAACGATTGAGAGTAGGTGAGAAACAACGATAACCTTTTTGGACCCGAGAGTATCCAAGGAAGACACATTTAAGAGACTTTGGGTCTAACTTTGAAATAGATGGACGTACATCCCGCACAAAACAGACACACCCAAATATCTTAGGAGCAATAGGGAACAAAGGCTTAGAAGGAAAGAGGGTAGAAAAAGGAGAGTTACCATCAAGAACAGAGGAAGGCATTCGGTTAATAAGGAAGCAGGCAGTGGAGACCGCGTCAGCCCAAAATGGTTTAGGAACCTGCATTTGAAACAAAAGTGCACGGGCCACCTCAAGTAGGTGGCGATTTTTTCTTTCTGCAACACCATTTTGAGCTGGTGTATCGACACAAGACGACTGATGAAGTATACCATTTTGAAGCATGTAAGATTGGAACGAAGCAGAGAGATATTCTTTAGCATTATCACTTCGTAAGGTGCGAATAGAAACATTAAATTGAGTTTTAATCTCAGCACAAAAGGCACAAAAATGGGAAAACAATTCAGAACGATGTTTCATTAAATATAACCAAGTTGTCCGGGAATAATCATCAACAAATGTAACAAAGTATTTAAACCCTGCTTTGGACTCTACAGGACAAGGACCCCAAACATCAGAATGGACTAACTCAAAAGGGGATGAAACCCGTTTATTGACACGAGACACTAAAGGAAGACGATGATGCTTGGCAAACTGACATGACTCACAATCTAAAGACGACAAATGCTGAAATTGAGGATAAACTTTCTTAAGAGAAGATAAAGACAAATGACCCAATCGACAATGAACTTCAAAGGGAGAATGACTGCTAGCGCAAGCTACCGCATGAGACACCCGATCATCCAGTATATAGTGCCCGCCAGATTCATAACCTCTACCAATAATCCGCCTCGTCAAAAGATCCTGTATCAAGCAATGAGAAGGAAAAAGTGAGACCCAACAGTTTAGTTGACGGGTGAGTTTACTGGGAGATAGGAGATTAAAAGCAAGTTTAGGAACATTTAGCACAGATGACAAACGGATAGAGGGTGTGGGATTAACAGTGCCAGAACCGAGAACTTGAGACTGGGAACCATCAGCGATGGAAACACTTGACGGATTGGCAAAAGCATTATAAGAGGAGAAGAGATGGCTGTTACCTGTCATATGATCAGTAGCCCCGGAATCTATGATCCACTTTGAGGAAGAAGAAGCAAGGGCAGTAGCATTATTACCTGTTGTAGCTGCGGCACTCACAGACGGTGTAGTAGATTTTAACTGGGCATACTCAGCAGCAGAAATCGTGACTGTGTCACTGGCTTGTGTAGCCACGTGGGCAGAGTTATTCCGTTGCTGTTTATTCTGAAGTTTTCGACATGTGCGTTTTGTATGCCCCGGTTCTTTGCAGTAATAACACACTACCCCACTGGAGTCAGAAGGGGCTCCCCCTTGCTTCGAACCACCACGGGTAGGCCCCCCGCGGTTATCAATAGGACTACGAGTCTCATAGGTGCCCTTACTGAGCAAGGCACTTGTAGGAATACTAGCAGCTGGTGGCAAGAGATTCTCAGCTCTCATTACTCTGGAAAACACATCTTGAAGGTCAGAAATTTCAGATCCGGATAAGATTTGAGACCGAACTGTGTCGTACTCAGGTGGGAGACCAGTAAGAAAGCTCATAATAGCCATTTGCTCCCGTTGCTTATGCTGAACCTTCAAATCAGCAGTAAGAGGCATTAACACATTCAGTTCTTCATACATCCTTTTAAAGTCCATAAAGTAGGCTTTGAGAGGACGATCCTGTTTTTCAGAACGATAGAAAGCTTTGCAGACCTCGTAAACACGAGAGATATTTCCTTTTCCTGAATACAAAAAATCTAAATAATCCATTAGTTCCTTAACCAATTCACAGTGATTAATAGAGGGAATAATCTCACTGTCAATGGAATTACGGATCTGGAAAAATAGCCGTGCATCATCCCGCAACCAGGTCTTTTTGGAATCAGTTGTTGGAGGATCATCAGTCAGATGGTCTTCCTTCTCAATGCTCCGCAGATAGAGGCGAATGGTTTTACTCCAATCCAAATAATTTACCCAAGTCAACTTGTGATCAGTAATTTTAGTAATAGTTGGGACAAGCTCCGAGACAGATTTAATTTCCGCCATAGATGAAGTGCACTAACCAAAGGGAATGCGAAAGAGTGTTACACAGGAACACAAAGCACGATACCTGGATTACCTAATGAATACCAAGGCAGTGAAAAGGCCAACAGCTACACAGGGAGCTGCAAACAGAACTGAATTGCACAAACAGCGTGCCGGAGATGCGCCAGAAACGAAACAGAACGCCAAAAGTAATAAACCGTACGGACTGTACGGACGCCGAGTGAACAGTGCAGAGCGCACGGACTGTACGGACGCTGCGGAAAGTCGATGAACAGTGTAGGGCGTACGGACACTGTACGGACGCTGAGTGAACAGTGCGGCGGTGGTACTGTAGCAACCGAAAATTAACACCCAGAAAGAAAATTCCCACGCTCTGATACCGTGTAGGAAATAGAATAATATGAAAAATAATTCTCTTGTATTTCATTGATCAGAATATACACATATATATACAAGTGAGAGGAGCCTCTGCATTAATGGCCCATTATGATAATATCATATCCTATCAAATCCTAATCATAATTACATAATATTTACATATCAAATCATATCATATCTCTACAATTGTAAAGACGAACCAACCATTGAAATGGGGAAAATGGAAACTATGGGAGGAAACAAGGCAGAAAGGATGAAACTTTGATATATTTTGCATCTGTCACTGTAGACTGAAAGGTCTACAGCCAGTGACTTAAAGGAAACTATAAAAAATGTGCTTAAAATAAGGAACTAAAGGAAGGAACTAACAGTAAAGAAAGTTCTGATCCTAAGCCTTAATGCGAGGCATAATCTTTGCCCCATGGTTTAGGACTGGCATCTGATTTCCTTTCCTGATATCGGGAATGGCATCAAATTAATAGGAAAAAAATAGAAATGGAAGCGTAGGACATCTGCTGCGCTTTGATATCTACTTGTTAGATGTTCTTTTTGTTCTTTCTCTCTTTTTTTTTATCGGATGGATGCTATTAGTGCGCATTGAAAATGAAGGATATGCAAACTTGAAGGGCAAAGGGGCAGTGGATACCCTTAAACATGCTGGTATAATGTTAGCGTGACAAATTTTCCGCTGACCTTGGTGATCTTGGACAAAATTACTAGAACATTTGGTTTAGCCACAAGGATCTAATTAACTGCTCAGTTGTCATGATATATTCCTGGGCAAATAATAGCATGCTATTATTTACTCTTAGTTATACAGGTCATTGCAAGCCCAGCTGATCTTGTGAAGGTGAGGATGCAATCGGATGGCCGTTTAGTGAGCCAAGGTCTTCACCCTCGCTATTTGGGGCCTTTTGATGCTTTGAACAAGATTATTCAAGCAGAAGGGTTTCTGGGACTTTGGAAGGGTGTTTTTCCTAATATTCAGAGAGCCTTCTTAGTAAACATGGGAGAACTGGCATGTTATGATCATGGTAAGCAATTTGTGATCAGAAATAAGATAGCTAACGATAATGTTTATGCCCACACGTTAGCTTCTATCATGTCCGGCCTCTGCGCGACTACTTTAAGCTGTCCAGCTGATGTAGTGAAGACTAGAATGATGAATCAGGCAGCTAACAAGGATGGTAAATTCTTGTATAGTAGCTCTTATGATTGCTTGGTGAAGACAGTTAAAGTTGAAGGAATAAGAGCACTCTGGAAAGGATTCTTTCCCACATGGGCTAGGCTTGGTCCTTGGCAATTTGTTTTCTGGGTTTCTCATGAGAAGTTGAGAAAAATTGCAGGGCTCTCTTCTTTCTGATTTGCACCATGGCCAACCCTCTTTCTTTCATTATAATTTTTCAAAAAGCCAGCGAAGGTGATATCTCTTCTACCAAATATTGCCTCAAAATTCCCCTTAAAGAACATTTAGGATGCGCAAAGTGCTATCCAAATGGACCTGATGTTTCTCTGTCACCTTACAGATTCTGTTGTTCAAGTATGGGCAAAAGGTGAAAATTTATTATAGGTGATCCATGCATTACAGTTTTGCTGAACAATTTTTTGTTCTCAAGATGGCACCCATGCAAAATGGGATACAGTTCATAAGCTAAGCTTGCATTAATAAGGATGAATGCCCCCCTTTTTTCCTTTCTAACTTATGTATTATCCGTATTATTCTCCTTCCAAAAAGAAAATTTGGATGTTATAAGGTCTGATGTATTATGAGAATACCATTGTTTAATTGAAAGATAATCGTGTTCCTCTATCAAAATGTTTAATATTATTTGTTTTAAATGTAGGAAGGTGTTAATACCCTAAAACATACTACTAGGGATTCGTAATCATCAGCTGATTTGGTTGGTTAAGGGTATGATATGTTGTTAGTCGTTAGCGAACATTATTATGATTTGATTTTCGTATTTCTGTATGCACTTTGGTCTTTTTGACAGTTTTTGCGTATCTAAGATGAAGAAGAAATAACTTGATTTGCATTTACATATCAAAAGTTCTTATGACTGCTTTGTTTTCTACGTTTATGTTTTTATTGTTTTCTCCCCTGAATGAAGCTGGGAATAGTTCATTCCAATGTAGAAATTAAGGCCTATTTGTTTCAGCATTTCAATGGAAGAAAGGTAACTTATTGAGCCAAAACGTACGATTGTGCAAGTGCGATGAAAATTGGTGTGTTTGTGATGGCGTTGGAGCAATTCAGCTTTTGGATGAAAAGCCACCATAAGCCATAAGTAAAAATTTGAAGCTTATGACTTTTAGAAAAGTGGAGAGAGAAGATTGAAAAAAAAAAAAAAAACGTTGGAGCCCATGCCTTTAAAAGAATTTATCTTAAATCATACTACCTCCGGTCCTAATTATAAGACCTAATTGATTAATTTGAAGAGATTAAGAAAATAAGTTAAGTTAGTTATTTGTAATAAATAAGTATTGCCTTTCCTAAAATATCCTTACTAATCAACTATATTGGCTAGGACTACAGTTATTAGAAGGACTATCTTGAAAAAAAATGCATAAATATGAGAGACAAAGTGGATTGAGGTTTTATATTTAGGACCAAAATAAAAGTCAAACAGGGTCTTATATTAAGGACCAGAGGTAGTATTATACTATATTATATTCAAACTTAGACTTATATTCTTTCTAGTACAAAACATAAGCATCAAAATTTTCATATTAGTATAATATATATACACTAATTATTAATATAAGAGCTAAATAACTAATTTATGAATATTTAAAAAATTAATTAAATTAATTACCACTTCAGTATTGTTTATTTTAAATCTTGCTAAACAGGCATAGTTATGATTTCCAAACACAAGTGTATATGGTATACATGGTTTGTGCAATAATCGCCATTCATAATCTTATAAGGAAACATTCAAACTCCGACACCTTTTTTTTTATCATGTTTCACTTTATATTCAAAATTTTTTGATGATTACTCTAAAATTTTAAAATTTAATTCACTCATTAAAATTGTCTTTTTCATAATAAATTATTTTAATTTCATTGTATTATGTGAAATCATTTTTTTATCATGTTCCATTATTTATTAAAACTCATACCCATTTTGGTTATTTTATAACCAAACTTACTTTTATTTAATTATAATCCAAACAAATTTTTACCAATCTCAATTTTGCAAATTAGTTTTTCTGAACTCTAATACAAACACAATTCAGTTTATCCGATTTAACTTTTACCAACTTCACTTTTCTATAAACTACTTTTTCAATCGCTGATCCAAACGGATCCTTAGTTGAACAATCTGTCATGGTGCTAGTTGTCACATTTGATTTGATTTTATTTAATTAATTTTAATTTATAGTTTAACTCTTATTATATTATATATCTCTTCCGTTTCTTTTTATAAGAAATAATGTGTCTCAAAATATAAGAAATAAATCCTCTTTGTTTAAAATTTTAAATTAGTTTTCTTATTTACTTCTATTAAATATATGTCATTTATCATTTCTTTGTAATAAATTTTCACTTATTATTTTGCATGCACTCTCTTTATAAATAGAGGTAAAATTAGAGATATATGTTTTACATATTTATTACTTTTAACTATTAAACCATGTGATTATAATAGTTGTTTTGGAGAGAGTAACAAGGACCTCTTGCATATTTCATAATAGGACAGAATAGTTTAAGTTCTTCAATCACACTTCTTACTTCGTTATTGTTAATTGTTGGAACGCACATGTGCACTTGTAATTTCCCGTATGAAAACTTGTAAAATTTTTGTACAGGTTTTTGTGATACAAACTAGAATTTGTAAATTTTTATATGAACACATTATTTTATTATTGTTAGTTGTTAAAATATATATGTACAATTGTAAATTCACCAATAAAATATGAATACTTGTTATTTTGCTATTGTTGCTCAATCAGTAACTTGCGCACAGTTCATAAGTAGAAAGTAAACATTGAGTAAGTGGTGATAATCTAAAATATAAACTTGCATCAATAATATTACCGCTAGTCATGATTATAAGAGCTAGTTGACTAATTTGAAGAGATTAAAAAAATAAGTTAAGTTAGTTATTTGTAATAAATATGTATTGTCTTTTTTAAAATATTCTTGCTAATTAAGTGTGTTGGCTAAAACTACTATTATTAGAATGACTACCTTAGAAAAAAAAACATAAATATTAGAGATAAAGTGGATTGGAATCTTATATTTAAGATCAAAATAAAAGTCAAATAAAATCTTATATTAAGAACCGGAGGTAGTACAGTGCAACCTAGAAAATATGCCAGTTAATCTTGAGCTGATTGGATGCGACTTCTTATTTCCCATCAAACCAGACTGATATAGGGTGTGTTTGGATTGGTGGTGGAGAAGTAACTTTTTTTTCAATCTGACTTTTCCAGAAGTCAGATTGAGTAAAAGTCAGATTGGGTAATGTGATTTATGTTTGGATTGGGTTTAGAAAAAAGTCAGTTTGAGAAGCTGAAACTTGTTTGGATGATAAATGTAAAAGTAAGTTTGAATGTAAAATGACTTAAAAGGACATGAATTCTATTAAATAGCACATATCTAATATTAGATATTTAATTATTAAAAGTGAAGAAGTAAGGAAAATAAAAATTATTAAAAGTAAAGAAATTTAATTTAGTATTATAAAGAAATTATATATATAATGTGACTATTTGTCATAAATAAAGTAATGAAAATAAAATTATTAAAAATAAGGAAATTTAATTTATTGTTATAAAGAAATTATATATATAATGTGACCATTTTAAAAGAAGTATTGAAAAAAAAATTTTATTAAAAATAAAAAAAATTAAGTTATTACTAGAAGGAAATTGAAAATAATAAAAAACTTAATTAAATATATGTAATGGATAAATATGTAAATTAGAGGTCATACATACGTAGCATTTTTAAACTAAATACATCAAATAACTAATTGGATGCCATGCTCAATACAATTTGGTCTCTGATTGTGTCACGCACATGATTCATTTGTCTTGATCTAGGTAAATTTGAAGAGGATGTCTCACCAGCTTCATCATGATTGTCTTCGTCAATTGTACCTTCAGATTGAGCTTCTATGAAATCTCTATCAGTTTCAGAATTTCTTCGGAGGAAATTATGTATAGCCATTGTAGCACAAACTACTTGGACTTGAGTTTTATACTTGTAACTTGGCATCTTATCTAAGATGCGAAACTTATTCTTCCACACCCCAAAAGTCCTTTCTATAGTGCACCTCAAACTTGAATGGTAGTAATTGAAGACTTCGTTATAATTTTCAAATCCCGGTTGTCGCCTGAAGTCTGGAAGGTGATAGCGCTCACATCTGTACGGACCAAGATATCCTGGTGGAGTTGGATAGCCAGCATCGACCAAATAATACTTCCCTAATAAATCATGAAATTATGTTGACATTGTGAAATTAATGAAAATATCAAATGAATTTGATATAATTAAAATTGAAGCTACTGAAAATATACCTGGAGGTGGATGAGGGAAATCCAAGGCTGGAGTTGAGACAGCAGTGTTAAACACACGAGCATCATGTGCAGTACCTTCCCATCCCGCTAACACAAAAGTGAAGCACATGTCCCAATCACATACAGCCATGACATTCTGTGTGGATATCCCTTTCTCCCGATATATTTGTCTTGCTTCGAAAGACTCACCACACATCGTACATGAGTGCCATCAATTGCTCCTATTGCATCATTGAAATATGGCGAATATCGTTTATCGTTTTTTATTTTTGGGTGAGTTACAGAAAACGTAGGATCGAGTGGTTTGATATATTCCCTGGAAAGACTAAGGCAAGCCTGTAATACTCTATGAAAATGAA